TGGGATGCATTGGGAGGAGGGGAGAGGATGGATAATATCGAAAAATAGAGGTTTTTTCCGAAATTCGAAAAAAAATTGAATTAATAAATAAAAATCATTAAAAAATTATGCAGCTTTCTTTGTTAAATCCTCAATATTTGAAGATTTCAGCCTGTCAATTATTTCCTTTCGTACTTTTTCATCTTGAACTTGATCGGCTAGAAGTCGATCCAGGAATTGTTCGGTTTGGTTCAGAGCGATCTGGAAAATAGGGATTTTAGAGTTTTTCAAGGGTTTTTGAGATGAATTTTATGGGGTTTTACCAGGAAAAAGGGGGGGGGCGGGTGCATTATTTTTTCAGGAAAAAGTTTTTTCGTGAAATTTTTGGGGGTTTTCACGATTTTTTGGGTTATTTTGGTTGAAAACATCCATGAAAAAATAGTTTTGATTATCGAAAATTGAAAAACTTTTACACCAAGGAGATGTTTTCCAGCCGATTTTAAACACTCCAATCTGGCTCCAAATTGAGCGACAAAATGGTCTGAAATCTGCAAAAATCATCAAAAATTCAAAATTTTTTATTCTGTGCAATTTCAATTTTTTCAAGTTTTCTACATTTTTCGTGATTATTTCAATCAAAAATTCATCAACCTAGTCCATTTTCAACGGAGTTTGGCTCTATATTGGCCGAAAGTGGTCTAAAAAAACCAGCAAAACTCATCAAAATCCGCAATTTTTTATTCTGAGCAATGGGATTTTCCTAGGTTTGAAGGGAAAAAACTCATGTGGTTACGAACCATTTTAATCAAGTTTTGGAGGTTTCCGGCTCTGAATTGCTTCAATATTGGTGTAAAAAGCAAATTTAGAAGGAAAACTCAGACTTTTTTATATTTTTTTATTTTCATAGCAAATTCAACTTTTCCCTTTTTTCTGGAATTTTTTTTTCAATGAAAATTTGGGGTTCATAGGGCTGTAGGACCTCGTTTTTATTTTTCGGACATTTCTATATTTTGGGTGTCCTAAACCGAGACTTTGCCTACTCTTTATGATCAATGCCTTTCTAATAGAGGTTCTTGAAGGAAATTCTGCTGAACCTCTACAAAATATGGACTAGAAACCGTACCTTTTTCAAAACCGGCTTCACCACACTTCCCAACGACTGTGGTTCTCCAGTTTGATGCTCATCGTGCATTTTCAGATTCAACGATGGTAGAATTCGACTCAAAAAATCCGGTTGAACACGTGGAAACAACGGATGAATATGGGACAAGTCGATTTCGGATTTTATGCTCTGAAAAATCTTCATTAGAACGGTACCTTCTATAAAAAAACTCACATTTGAAGCCATCGAATTCTGTGGAATGGCCGTCGGGACACGTGTGATTTGGTAGGAGACTGGAATCATTGGGATTGGGGCCGCAGTTGGAGGCGGGGCCACCGGGCGGGAGTGCGCTCCACTGATCACACTTCCGTGGATGTGCTGGAATAGGGTATGGTAGACTACAAAGACTACAAAGACTAAAAACCCCTACATTCTGATACTGCTGAGCATAGGTTTCAGCTGGCGAAACTTCTGGAATCTTCGGAAGAAGATCCTTCGGAAATTCGTCAATTGTGTTGTAGATTTGAGGTTGATGGGTCTCTGGCACTGGCGGATAGACCCTTGGTGGCGAGATTGGCGATGGGACGTGATGGTCGATTACTCTGGAAATGGTATTTTGATAGAAAGGTATTAGGGAGCGGGTACTGAAGAAAAAAAAGGTTGGACCACGCCTAGGGGTTGAACTCGGGTTGGAAAATTGGAAGGAAACAGTGCTAGCCACTGAGCCACGGAGGGTAGAAAAAGGCGCGCGTCTCTGTCTCTTTCTCTTCCCCTGATGGATACAGAAGTGTTCAAAAATACAGTGATCCTATCCTACATACCCCACCACTGCATAGATCATGTTAAAAAAAAGAAAAAAAGGTTAACCCTGACGGGGGTCGAACCCGCGTCTGAAATTTCAAAATCAAGAGCGTTAGCCACTGCGTCACGAGTGACAGACGGCGAGGAGGGCGAGAGGGCGAAGATAAAGAGACGCATCTCTCTCTCTCTCTCTCTCTCTCTCTCTCTCTCTCTCTCTCCTCCCCATCCCCCCTGGCTGGAAAGATGCTCTAGTGAGAAACGTGGTAGATATTCAACTGCTATGGGGGTGATCAAGTGCTATTGTCTCATGTGCTATTGTCTCATGAGCTATTTTGGCTCTTGTGCTATGGATCAAGTGCTATTTTTGGATCAAGCGCTTTTTTGCTCTGGTGCTATGATTGTTGATCAATTGCTATAAGTTTTGTGTCATGCGCTACAATAGCATCTGAGGCATTAATAATGGAGAAAATAGCATTTGATCTATAGCACAAAAGCCAAATTTTGGAGAAAATGTGAGTATTTCCCAAGAAAACCATACCTATTGCCCTTCCACTCGACAAACGACGTTTCCGAAGGCAATCTTGGAATGACAACTCGATTATCTGGATCATAAGGTTTTCTTAGCTCTTCTCCCTTCTCACATCTTCCAATTGACACCATAAATACCAAAGTATCCGGACAATGTCGTTCAGTCCATCGACCCAATCTACCGTATAACGGAGCACATTGAAGGTACATTGATGGGGAGCTGCAATTCAAAATATAGGAGGAATGCAATTGCGCTCTATTGAAAAATCTCTAAATTCTCAATAGAGCGCATTTGCACCATTAAGACATACCTCGGATGAGCACAAAACGAATCGGCGTCATATTTCAACTCGCACTCTCCATTTATCCGACATTGACTATAGATATTTGGGGATCCCGGAGTCTCCTCCTCCACAGTTACCGTATTCCATTCGGGGGACCATGTGGGGGATGGGGTCGCCCATTCAGGGGCTTGAGTTGTGAATCGAATCATATGGGATTCGACATCCGGAGGTCGGTAGATGTTGATATCCGGACGGTAGATTGGTTTGATGGTGGTGATTGGGGTGGTGGCTGGAAGTTTGGATTCCGAGACTCTTGGGGAATTAGCCTTAAAGGCGCAGCATGGGTCTTGTCAGGAAAACCGTTTTACTGTTATATCTTCCAAGATTTGAAAAAATCAAAAAATTCTTCAAAACGATTTTTCACTCGAAATGCGCCTTTAAACGGATTTTTTCTTCTGCTAACGATTCTGAGAAAAATTCAATAGAGCGCACTTTCGTAAGATTTCCGAACTAATAAGATTTTGGATTCATGTTTGCAGAACATTCGCCCCATCGAAATTTGAATTTTGCTCCAAAAACGGCTCAGAAATATCAATTTTGAGAACAGTGATGACGACTATATACTAAATTTGATCACGCGCCAAACTTATTCAAGTTCAATGGAGCGCGCTTGGAAGAAAATTTTGAATTCAGAACAATTCTTGTTTGCTGAAAACGCGCTCTATTGAGACTTTTCGGTTGGTTCAAAAATGATTCAAAAATATAACTTTTAAGCGAAATTATGACCAAAAAATCGAATTCCCATTGCTAAATTTGGTTACTCTGAGTTCAATGGAGCGCACTTGCAAAAAATCTTTCAATTTCCAAAAATTTTGTTCTAGCTGAAAATGCGCTTCATAGATAACCATCCACTGGCTGAAAAATATGGCTCAAAAACCTTAATTTTGAGCGAAATTCTTGTGCCAAAGGTAACAATGTGCAATCTGACGTGACGGTGTTTGCAGACCCGGCATCATATCTCACGACAACTCAGTTTTCGGTCGTACAATTCAGTTTTCGGGCAAGAAAACTGAATTGTCGTAAGATTCTATGTCAAGTCTGCAAACACCACCAACTGACACCCCCACGCAAAACCACAGACAAGCTCACCTTCCACGATCCTCTCCTTTTCACTCTCCATAATCTGTCTCATCATCTCTCGCTCCCTCTCCATCGCCTCCATCCGGGATCTCTCCTCGATCTCCTTCTTCATCTGCTCCTGAATTCTTCTTCTCTCCTCCAAATCCTTTTCTCTCCGTCTCTCTTCCTCTTCCTCTCTCCGTTTCTCTTCCTCATAAATCGCCTGTTGTCTCTCCTCCATTTCCTTTTCCAGAAGCTTCCGTTTCCTTTCTTCCTCTTGCTGTCTGCGTCTCTCCATTTGTTGTTGTCTCTCCGCCTCTTCTTCTCTAACTCTCTCCATTTCCCTTGCTCTCTCTTCCTCTAGTTGTCTGCGTCTCTCCATTTCCTTCTTCTTCTTCCTCTCCTCCTCTTGTTGTCTGCGTCTATCCAATTGCTCTTGTCTCTGCTTCTCCTCTTCTCTGACTCTCTCCATTTCGCGTGCTCTCTCTTCCTCTAACCGTCTCATCTCTCGTTCTCTCGCTTCCTCTTGCTCTTTTCGTATCTTCTCTCTCAACTGCTCTTCTTCCAGTATCTTCTGCTTCCTGGCTGCCTCCAATTCTTGTCTAACTCTCTCATTTTTCTGTTGTCTCTCCATCTGAAGACGTTCTAACTCTCTCATTCTCACTATTTCCATTTGTATCTCCTCTTGTCTGATTCTCTCCATTTCCCGTTTTCTCTCTTCCTGTCTAATCCTCTCCAGCTCGCGTTCTCTCTCCATCGCCATTCGTTCTTGCTCGGCGTAGATTGCTGCTTGCTGGAACAATTCAAATAATGCAAACGCGCTCCAATGCAAAACTCACCCTATCCATCTCCGCTTGGCGGGCTTTTTCAGCCTCCTCCAACTGTCTGCGTCTCTCCATTTCGCGTGCTTTTTCCTCCTTTTCCTGTCTGAGTCTCTCCTGCTCCATTCTCTCGAATTTGTCCTGTTGTTGACGTTCGGAGACGGTTTTTTGGTGCTGGACAATGTGGAGGAGTTGGTTGAGGAACTCGTTTTCAGTCATCGTTTGTCCGTTGTATCTGGAAATGTTTGTAGTTTGTAGTTTTTGTAGTTTATGTAGTCTGTAGTCGCCACTCGGTGCGGTGCCCTCTCACGGGGTCTCCCCCCCCCCTTTCTCTTGTCACGCGCAAACGCCTGCAGTCTGTCTTGCGCCCTCGCGGTGTAGTGGTGAAGGCGTTTGACTGACGATCTGAGGGTCGCGGGTTCGAACCCAGCAGTGGTCAAATCATTTTTTATTTTTTCTAAAGCAATTTTGAGTACTCAGAAAGTGTTTTTCTCTAATTTGGCGATATTTTCTAGGTTGTGGACTTGAAGAAATGACCTATTTCGCAACGAAATTTGTAGTTTGTAGTTTGTAGCTTATGTAGTCTGTAGCTTGTGATTAACGTAGTTTGTAGTTTGTAGTTTATGTAGTCTGTAGTCGACTACTTGGCGCTGCGCCCTCTCACGCGGTCCCCCCCTTTCTTTTGTCACGCGCAAACGCCTATAGGTTGCCTTGCGCCCTCGTGGTGTAGTGGTTAATGCGTTTGACTGACGATCTGAGGGTCGCGGGTTCGATCCCAACAGTGGCAAAATCATTTTTTAATTTTTTCTAAGCAACTTTCGACACTCAGAATGTGTTTTTTCTCTAATTTGACGATATTTTCTAGGTTGTGGACTTGAAAAAATGACCTATTTTCCAAACTTCAAATAGTCTCACCTCACAGTATACTCCGGTGTCATCGTCGTCATTCCCTCGACTCCGAAATTCTCCCCGCGCCTCTCCATCTTTTCATACGGAGCCAAAGTGTGGGGCATCCCTTGAGATTCTTTGGGAGGGGCTACTGTAATCTTCTGAAGGCCAGGGATGAATCTGGTGGCGTGTGTCACTGGCATCGGGGTAGTTGTGGTTCTGATCCTTCCGGGTCTAGTGAAGGCGGGCGGTCCTCCTTCAGCTCCTCCACGAATCCTGGTTCGGGGCGATGACTCCTCACTTTTATTCATCATATTCTTCTTACTCGCAAAAATTACTATCTTTGGAGTACTAGTTTCTTCCTCCTCCATAGATTTCTGAATCTCCATTGACATCGGAATAGTAGTTGGGAGTGGAGTCGTCGTCATTATCGTCGTAGTTTTCCTCAGTTTTCCCCTTGTTCTTGCCTTTGGTTTCCGACTTTTCGGACGAATCGTCGAGAAGACAAACTCTTCTGGAGCAGCCACAAGAGCCGCTGGAGTCACTTGAACTTCTGCGGAGACAGGGTAGCTGGCTGGAATTGGAGCAGGAGTTGTGATGATTGTTTTGGGTGCGGTCTCGTATTTTCGCATCGGTTTTAGCATTCGGCCATCTGGACGCTCTTTGCAGACCTGGAAAAGAGCAAGATCACATTTTTGTAATTTGAAAATTACCAAAAAAGTCCAAACATTTCCGCTAAAAACCTTGAGTTTTGTTATAGGAGCTCCCATTCAAAACGGTATATCTTGGTTAGAAGTGGAGCTATTGAAAAATTGTCAACTACAAAAATGTTCAATATGCAATTTTGCACATTTTGTTTATTGACAACTTTTTTGTATCTCTTTTAGCTACCGAGATATGGGCTCAGAACTATTATGAGTCTATATTTCTATTAAGTATAACTCGGTCAGCAGAAAAAATCTTAGAAAGTTGTCAACTGATGAACTACTCAAAATAAATTTTTGCACATTTCACTAGTTGAACACTTTCCTGTATCTAACCAGGTAACCGTGATATAAGGCTCCTTACTTCACCAACAACATGTTTCTGCTTGGATCAGTACATCTCGATTAGAGGTGAAGATATGAAAAATTGTCAACTGAAGAAAAAATTTTGCACAGTTTGTTATTTTATTATTTATCTGTATCTCAACTGCTAACCAAGATATGGGGCTTTGAAGTGATTAGCTGTACAGATTCAACCATATTTTTCGCTTAAAGCAGTTTATCTCGGTTAGGATTAGAGTTATCAAAAAAGATTAACATGAGACTCATTTATTATATAATTTCACGTAACTCATCAGTTGAGCATGTTTTCCAAACTCATTTGGCAACCGAGATAGGATCCTTAAAAAAAAACATGTTCACGAAAAGCAGTTTTGGTTTTTTTTACAAATCTTTCTAAGGCTTTATATCTCGGTTAGAATTAGAGATATCAAAAATTAGTCAACTAATGAAATATACACCATGCAATTATCCACATTTCATTAGTTAAACAGTTTCTTGTATCCTTTTTGGCAACCGAGATATGCAGCTTGAAAGTTTACCAATTAAAAAAACTCACCCTATCTTCCGGGTCAAAAGTCATCTGCGGAGCGCACGGCACAACCCAAACTCTTCCAGAGGGTCCACACTGTTTGTACCTTGATGGATCCCCATTGACTGTTCGAAGACCATATGTCACTCGATTACATCGTTCCGAGGTGAAGATCACATCCGTGAGAGCTGGAAAATGGGGTTACTGTAGGGGGATTAGGGACTGAGAGTCAAATTTTTGAATTTTTGATTGAAACCACTGGTCTTGGCCCAAAAAACAGTCCGAATCAGGCTGTGCGAGAAAAAAAATCCCGAAAAAACTCAAAAAAATTTTTTTTTCGAAAATTTCGGACCGGAAAAATCGAAAAAAAATGTTTTCGGAAATTTTCGGGATTTTTTCGGTTTTTTTCAAGAAAGATCGATAAAAACATGAAAATATACAACTGAAAGAACCGTTTTTACCGAATTTTTTAAATTTTTACCGAAAATTTTTCGCACAGCCCTGTCTAAATCACTCAAAAATCCCAATTTTTTTCCAGATGTCATTTTTTTTCTCAAAATAATCCTTCATCCTCCGGCTAGCAAAAATTGACGATATCTGACGAGAACTGACCAAAAAAGCCCAATCTCGCCACAAAATCCTATCATGTATGGCTCAAAATCAAGTATTCCAGCCCAATTTTTGTAGTTTGTAGCCTTCTTTCCCTATTCTAATCGCCCCTGTTTATCCCTCCCATTAAAAGTAAAGTTCTGGTAATTTCGTGCAAATATTGGACCCCCCTTCCACCCGGCGAGAAACTGCCAGTAGTAGACACACTTTATCAAGTGTTGTTGGGTGACAGAATGTCAACAAGGGTGCAACCTCCCGTACCTTTTATCTTCACATATCTAGCCTAGGAGATAAGATTTTAATAGAAGGTTTGGAGGGAATTTGAATTTGGCATCATATTTTACGACAATTCACGGCATTCCCGAAAAAAATGAGTCAAAATCTAGAAAATTCTGAAAATTTTCAAATCTAAAACTTGAAATTTCGAAAAACCAGAAATTCTTAAAGAGTCGTAAGATCTGATGCCGATTCTGCAAACACAAAACTCCCCTTCTATTACAGGGAGCCCTCAAAAACATCATCATTTTCCCTCTTTTCTTCTACTTTCCACCTAATAAAACCACCAATCCCCATCTCATTTTCTCCCCCATCATCAAATAATCCAAAAAGTACACAACTCAATTCTCACGCTCCCCCCTCCCCGAACGAAATGATGATCCGATTAAAATGCTCATTAGACAATAAAAAACGAGTGGGGGCTCCTTGGGAAAAAAGTAAAAAAGATTTCACCCCGGGTGGGGGTCGAACCCGCGTCGACCGGATTAAACGAGGGCGCTAACCACTACGCCACGGGTGCAACAAGTGGAGAGGGGAAAGGGGACCTACAGGAAAGAGAGGCTCCTCTCTTTTTTGCGCGGGGGGGATGAGGAGGGGGGAAGAAAGGAAGGTCCCCCTGTTTCTACAGGAAGAAGCCCTGACCGGGGGGGATAATAGAAAAACGAACGGGGCATTGAAATTCGATATCCCTTATTCTGAGCAATGCACATGATCGGTCTTTGCGCAAGCGCATCAATTGAATTGAAAAGAGAGAATGTTTTTCATGTTTTTCATCAAAGAATAAAAAGAAATGCCATCCGGATAGGAATGATGCTTATGTTTATATGTGCACTTTGTGACGTTTTTGAATGAAAAAAGGATTTCGTAAGGAGAAAAAATTTATTATGAGCAATGCGATAAAAATTCGAAAAGTTGGAAATTTGAAAGTTTTTTTTCAAAATGAGCTACAGTTTTTTGAGCATTTTTCGCCGATATTTCTATTTTTTAAAACATGAAAAATTGCTACAGTAATAACTTCTTACTGAAAAATTGCGTGCGCCTTGATACTTTGGTAAAAATGCGCCAAAACTTTCTCAAATCCAATAGAGCGCAGTTGCGCAGAAAACTTGAAATTTCAATAATTTCGTGCTAGCAGAAAATCCGCTTCCCTGAGTTCTACAAAATGCTCCAAAAACGGCTCGAAAATATTGATTTTGGGCAAAGTTACAGCCAAAACTTGGTTACGCGCCAAATTTTCTCAAATTCTATGGGGCGCACTTGCCTGGAAAACTTTAAATCCGGATAATTTTGTGCTAGCAGAAAATGCGCCCTATCGAAGTTGTTGTTTGAAATTTAAATTTAGAAATTTTCGGTCAAATTCGAAATTTCAGGTTTTTGGAAATTTGGAGAAAAAACTTATTTTCGAAAAAACCCGAAATGCAAGTTTTCCCCGAATTTATCCAGAAGGGTACCACCAGAAAACCCATCGAGAAAATACGAAATTCAAATACCCGCCAAAAATCCCAAAAAAAGGGCACCCACCTCTAAAAATCTACCAAAAAACCCAAAAAAACGTACCTGACGGGACCCAAAACAATAAAATGAACAGGAAGCATCGCATCCTTTTCCTCCAAATCCCAAATGGTTCTTCGCTCCTTGTTATTGGATTTTGATCTGATCTGAGCAAGAAATAAAATGAAGTTTCTCTTCATACGGAACGAGGAAGGAGACTAATCAAACAAGAGGGTTTGACAACCCAACCAAAAAAAATTCAAAAAAACAAAAAATCGATAAAGTTGTATAAAAGTTATAGTGATGATGGTCAAAACTGTCCGATTAAGGGGTGGGTAGATATGACTGATTGGTAATAAGAGTAAACACACGAGAAAGAACTCTTTTCGGACTGCTCTCCTGTCATATATCTAGAGTCTCCCTCCCTCCCCACCACCATCAAATGGGGGCGGAGCCAGAAAGTTTTGCTCTCCGCGCGGAAGCACTTTGCGCGTTTCGGATTACTCTCTTCCCAAGGGCATGTTTGATGAAGTTGGCTGGGCTGCCACGTGGAAAAGGATTAGGGGTCCAAGTTGGTCAACTTGGACTGGTTATTTTTCAAAGTGTACTTGCAGGATTTTTTTGGTGGGGATAAAAGTTACAGAAGCGCCGGATTTGGACATCCGGACCAGAGCTATCCGAAAAAAAATTCCGAAAAAAATCGAAAAAAATTTTTTTTGAAAATTTCGGACCGAAAAAATTCGAATGATGATTTTTCGGAATTTTTCGATTTTTATCGAATTTTTCATTGAAAAATGGGTGAAAGGCGGTAAAAACATGTTTTTAAAAAGTTTTTTTCGAAATTTGTTTTCGGTTTTCTCCGAAAAATTATTTGGAAAATGACCGAAAAACCGAAAAATAAAAATCCTTTCGAAAATTTTTCGTACACCCCTGATCCGGACAACAGAACATACACAGTGAATTTTTTTGTACGTGATTTCAAAATATTTCATTCGCGGGCTCTGTCTTACTGTAGAGTCACATGCCAACTGCGACGCGACTCGGCGATACGTAGGCATTTTTCTCATTTTGTTGAAAAATTAAAAATCAAGACCTAATCTTTTTTGAAACAAATTGAATACAACCCTTTCTTGGCATCATGTTGACTATAATAATGACAGAATTTGATCGAAAGTTATTACTGAAAAGTGCTCTGGAAACATGGTGAGTGCTCCTTCGGCTTAAGCGCGGCTCACTGTCACATTTTAAAGACGCAACATGAAATTTGTAAAAGTTCGTGTGAGATGGAGCGTGGAAACCGAGAAAAAAATTGTACGTACAAAAAAATTTACCATGAACATACTTTGTACTACTTCAATCCATTTATTTCTCTTAATCTACTTTTATTCATTAGTACAATCGAGTGTCAATTATAATCTCGAGTTATTCAATCACATGGCAATTGTGCTTGCTCCACCAGTCGTACTTCCCGTCGTTCCAGCCGTCGTTCCGCCCGTAGTACCGCCCGTCGTGGTTCCGCCCGTCTTTCCAGTCGTCATTCCAGTGGCTCCAGTTGTTCCACCGCCCACAGTAATTGCACCGGTCGTTGTGTTGCCGAAACCGATTCCAGTGATTCCAGCAGTGGTTCCAGAAACGTCGCATCCGTAGCGTTTGTACATTCCACGGTACCTGGAAAAAAGAAAAAAGATTTGTGAGGTGGAGGAATTGAACCCGGGTGTGAAAAATTAGAAAACAAGAGCGTTAGCCACTGCGCCACGATGGTGCAACAGAAAAGGAGGGGAGGCGGGGGGTGATAAAACCCCTAGAAAGAAAGGAGCGGCAAGTGGGGGGGGGGGGGGGTGTAAGGAAAGGCGTGAATGTGGATTAGCTAGATCTGTACAAAGATCGGTATGTCCGTATGTCCACGGCGCAAAAGTATTTTGCGCGCAACCAATTCATACGAATTTAAGTAAAATCGAAAGGGAAAAGCCACGCGAAAATGTCGATCAAAAAATAAACTAACCAGAATCCATAGACAGTTCTTCTGAGGAAGTAGAAGACGACTCCAATCAAGACGGTTGAGAGAATTGATCCACTGACGAATCCAATGTACAATCCCCAGACCCACCACTTTCCTTTTGTATAAATGGCATCATTTGTATTGTCAGTTGATTGAAGTGCTATTCCCAAAAGAGCGTTACTTGCCAATCGTTTCGGAGAGGCTGTAGTGGTTAAGACGATTGGTTTGGGTGGATCATCCGGTTGATTCGTCAGGGATTCCTTTCCATCTGCCACGTTGAATGTACCATCACCTTGATTTTTGACTTGCTTCTCTTTGACTTCATTTTCTTTGGCTTTATTGATGAATGTTTTTCCAGAGTTAATCATCTGAAACAAAAATCCAAATTTTCAGAAGTTCATTGTAAAAAAAATCAAACTCACACTGGAAACAATACCAGCATTGTCAACCAAATCGTCATAATTTTCAAAGAAAAACGACACTTTCGAGGCCATAGTCTTGTCCCATTCATCAGAATCCGAGATGACCACTTCACGGTACATATTGGCAACGTAGAACTGAAAGAATAGAGTTTGAAAAAAAGAAAAAAAGATTTTTCCCTGGTCGGAACCGAACCCCCGTTGAAAAATTCAAAAGCAATAGTGGTAACCACTACACCACGCGGGCACGCAAAGACCACATAGAAGGAGGGCGCTTAACTTCCTCTCTTTCTCTGGCAGCCGAGGGGGGGTAGAGGGGATTCGATAGCAGAATGGAAAAGCCAGAACTAACCTCTCCGCGTCCTTCTCCATTTGGTCCTTTCTTCACTCCATATCCAACTTCAATCGCATACATTTCATCATCGTCAACGAGTGCTGCTGGCTTCAATTCAATCGGAGAGGCACGTCCATTCTTTGGCCAAATGACAAGACCGTTACGTGGCAGAATGAACATTTCGAAACGAGAACGACATAGTGGTGGAGCACTGTCACTGTCGTGATTCTCAGCGTCAATGCACATTTTGAATCTGGAAAGTGTTCTGTTAGGGTCTTCTATAGTTCCCTATCTACGTACCCTTTGGTCTTTCCTTTCAAATAAATGACGGATTTCCAACTCTGTCCACCCATGTTGAACTTGATGACATCTCCCTTATCACAACCTCCATTACACGTCTTCCACACATTATCAGCTGTCAGTTTATCGTGTTTCGGAAGTTTCACAAAGTTGTTCGTTCGGGGAATCACTTTTGTGGCGTTTTTCTGAAATAGTTATGAAGAAGTCGTATTTCGGCTGTGAAATTATGAAATGCCAGTGTGAACCACTAGGCCATTAGCACATTAAGGTAAGCTGGATCATCGGAAGCATAGATTGCATATGTCTTTGAGGTAAATGAAGCAATTATCGCTTAGGCTTGGTTTTCTTAAGACCGGTCGTAAAAATTAAGACCCCCCGAAATATCACCGGCTGGTGAAATGTTTAGGACCCTCGAAAGTTATCACCTGCCGAACATCAAAATAAGGCCGGCCCAAATCTGTGAAAAGACCGTCAAAGAGTTGAAAAATAAATACCCGGAATCTCAAATTTGCAGGATTAATGACTTGTTTTCCTGCTCTGAAAGCTTTATGCTGTTTTTCCTAAGCCTATATTATTGATGACGTAATTGATTTAAAATATCGTAGAGTAAAACACCACTATTAGAAAAGACTTAGAAAAAAAACGGTATGTTTTGGCCGGTAATAATTTTCGGGGGTCCTAAAAACTTCACTGGCCGGTGATATATCGGCCGGTCTTAATTTTTTTGGCCGGTGCTAGGAAAACCAAGCCCTCGCTTATCATCGACAAATAGAAAACGTTGTTATCACTAACCCTTCCTTTACCAGTTTTCGTGAATGCACGCATCACATGGAACAGATTGTCGTCATTCGTCTTCCATCTTGGAGCAATGTATAAATTCTTTGCCAGCGCGTTATAGTTCGGAACTTCATCAACGTTCTTGCATCCCATTTCATTGGTGAACAGAATCTGTTCAGCTTTTGTTTGGGTGTTTTGACAAATATCGTTCTCAGCTTTATTCTTTAGGAGAGGTGTAGCCTTCGATCCATCCACCTTACCAGCTCCTAGATTAACTTTCGCCAGATTCGGATGAGATTCACAAGTTTGAAGTCTGGAGTAATGTATAGGCGTCAAAAATGAAAAAAAAATTAGACAGATTACCCCATGCATTCCCCAAACTTCACAGGGTCCTCCATTCGCTTGAAAAGACTGTTAGCAGCAGTTTCCTTGTTGACAACAACTCTCATTGGATTTGGCGAGCAGTCAACGAGCGTTTCCAAACTCTGAAATTATTTTTTTTCCAGAAGCTTTATTTCCCCAAAAACAACGTACGGTTTGACCCTCTACACCCAGATCTTCAACTTTAGTAGTTGCCTTTCCACACTTCAAAAATGCTTCGGGAAATGCTCCGAACTTCTTTTCGATATCCTTGTCCAGGTCAAATGTTCCGATGGTGGTTGGCAGAAGCATTTTGTGTAGCTCGTTTGGCAAATAGTCCTCAGCTAAAAAATTATGAAGGCTTTACAAATTGAAAGTTTGCTGGTAGTTACGTTTTGGCTCAGGCGCCGAATGAGAAGGAGGGACTCCGAATAGGAGGATGACAAGAAGAAGGAAAGGTAGTGAAGAGGTGTAACCTGAAATTTTTAGGCTTCTTATCGATTTTACAGCTTCTAAGAAAAAGAAAAAATGATTTGACACCGGGCGGAATCGAACTTGGGGTGAAAACTTCGAAAACAAGAGCCTTAGCCACTACACAGGTAGACCGCAAAGTACTCACGGGCGGGCGACCGGCGGGCGAACGACCGCAGATGGGCCACCGGCAGCCCACTGGTGGCTCAACGACCGCGGGTGGGCGATCGGCGGCTCAAGGGCAGGTCAGCTACTTTTTGAGAACTGAGGAATTTATAGAAGTTTTTCATTATTTTGTGATGTGACATGCTTAGAACGTCCAACACTGTCGATTTTTATCATTTTTGTTGGTTTTGAAAATTCAATTCTGAGTGGCTCACTGGCGGCTCACTGGCAGCTCAGCAGCCGCGGGTAGGCGACCAGCGGCTCAAGAGCAGGTGAACAACTTTTTGCGAACTTCGAAGTTTGAATTAGTTTTCCAGTATCTTGTAATGTAATATGCTTAGAACATCCAATACTGTCAATTTCTATCATTTTCCTGTTGATCTCGAAACTTTAATTCTGAGTGGTCCATTGGCAGGTCACTGGCAGGTGAACAACCGCTGGTAGGCGAACGGCGGCTTACTGGCAGTTGAAGAGAAGTAGTATTGAAATCAAGTTCATTTGACATAAGCGTCACTCAATGAGTGATGCACTTGAGAAAGTGGCTTACGATATATTTACTACTTGTTTCTAATCAGAACTCAGAAATTACCAACTCTAATTAGGTAAATCAACGTGATTGAATAAAAACTTGAAAAGGCTTTTCTACTCATTTGATGCATAGTAAATTTGTAATTTCTTTCCCCATAACGCAAGAAGTTGTTCATCTGCCCTTGAGCCTCCATTCGTCTACCTCCAGCCTTGAGCTGCCAATGGGCCGCCAGTGGGCCGCCAGAACCAAACTAAAAAACCAACAGGAAAACAACAAAAATGTCTCTTTGAGATGTTCTAAGCCCGTCACATCACGAAAAAAAGAAACATTTTTTTTCGAAATTTCTCAGTTCTAAAAAAGTCGTTCACCTGCCGTTGACCTGCTGTTGGCCTACCAGCGGTCGGCGGAGAGTGGTATACACGCAACGACACTCCGTTTTTCCGCCAAGGGTGGTGTTTACCGTCGGCCAACAAATATTTTTCCGAAATGTTTTCGGGAGTACTTCGCGTTTTCTGTCATTTTTCTCAATGTTTTTCATGAAATTTCGCTGAAAATAAGTTACGACTGTTCGGTAATTAAAAGTTAAAATTAATAATACATTTTTTTTGTCAAAAATAGTCACACTTTTGGGCAAAAAAAAGCTAAAAACTCTGCGAAAGAAAGTATTTTAAAGTAATCATTTTATTTCGGAAAAAACTGAAAATTTCCTATTTTCAGGTGGAATAGAAAGGTAAGTTGGTGAGTTTAGTGTTTTCCGAAATAAAATAATCACTTTAGACTCACTTTTCGCGACAAGTTTTCAAAATTTTTTCGAGTATTTTTTTCTTGTGTTTTCTCGAAAATTTATTTTGGAACTGATGAAACAGCACTTCAGAAAAAAGGAAGTTTCGTTTTTCTTAATTTCTACATTGTTTTTGAGAAATCTGAAAACATAAAAGTTTTTACTTTTTTAGAAATTCCGATAATTTATAATGGTCAGTCGTAACTTGGAAGTGTTGATTTTCATTGAGAAAAATGATGAAGTGAGAACTAGCGAAAGGAAAAGAACGAAGGAAAAAAGGAAAGAAAAACACATTTCACACACAAATAATATATTTTAGTTAACTAATAGAGTTATTATTCTTATTATGAATTCAATTCATGAATTCCGAAAAGCCTAATTGAAGCCCTAGAGGAGGGGTGCTGCCCGACTGACGAACCGCTGGCGGACGACCGTCGGCTGTCCGGCAGGTCCGCACTTCGCCCGCTGATTGTTCTCCCGTGAGCTGCCGGTCGCCCGCCCGACAGCTGACGGTGGGCCGTTGCGGTCTACCTGTGTACACCACGGGGCACATTGCGGAAGAGGTAAGAGAGGGCTTACTCATTAGGGCGCCCTTCCTCTCCTCTACGCCCTCTCTCCCCCCTGCCACGTGTTGACGCGTGGCGCAGCGGGTAGCGCCGTTGCCTTTCAATTTTTCATCGCGGGTTCGAACCCCACCAGGTGCCAATTCGTTTTTTTTTCTTTTTTCTTTTTCCCCCGCATACCTTTCATAGTGACGAATTGTCCAGGAAAGTGTAGCGTGTCTCGTTTTGAATTGCGACGAGTCCGTTCGGTTTGTCTCTCGGTTGCAACTTTTGGTTTATTGAGAACTGAATTTTCAGTTTGTATCGATTGATTTTATGTGGAGAGGAAAGTAGGGTGTCGATGTGGAGTTCTGGTTTAGAAATCTAGAGAACGTCACGTGGAAAAAAAAGGGGGGGGGGGGTCGGGGTTTCACGGGAGAACGCGCCTCCGGCGCTTCAGCATATAATTTTTTAATAGATTTCATTTTTTGGGGCCTATCCCTCAAGCTCCGCCCACTTGGCCCCGCTTTTTTTTCCGTTTCTCAACACCTGTCTCGTCTAAGAAGACCACCTGTCCCCATCAAAAAAAAAATTGTGAGAAAACCAAAACAAAAAACTACAGTAATCTCTGGTTTATTCGCTGGAAAACGGAAAAAAAACACTACGGTAGATCAAAAAGTGCTCTTTTTAAGGAATCAGAAGATTTCTCACTTGAAATCTGATTTTTACTCATCACTTTCCTCTAGGGCACTTTTTTTATACAATTCAAAGCTCATTGGGGGACTCTTAAGTACATTATAAACGCGGTTAATTTGAAGAATTCACAACAGTAGAAATGGGGGGAATAATAGAAAAAAAATACAGTAATCCAAAAGTTAGATGTGCAGGTTGAGTACAGTAATCCTTTATAGATTCACATACTGCATATTGGTGACGTCACGGAATGGATGAGCTGCTTGTTGATGGTATAAGCCGGCGTCGGCCAATCGTTTCCTCAATTCGGCGTTTTGCTGAAAATTCACCCTATTAGAAGGACATGTCAACTTTGAGGCTTGATATCTCGGTTAGGAAAAGAGATAGAAAAAAGTTGTCAACTGATAAAATGTGTGAAATTTTATGTTGAGTATTTTATTAGTTGACAGTTTTTTGATAGCTTTACTCCTAACCGGGATACAGGCCTTCGAAGTTTTGTTCAGTGGGGCGCAATTGCAGCATATAGAGAAGCACGGAGGTTCAGAGCATCATATCTCGGTTCGGAGAAGAGGTAGAAAAAAGTAGTCAACTGATGAAATGTGTTAATTTTTTGCTGAGTATTCTGTTAGTTGACAGTTTTTTGATATCTTTACTCCTAACCGAGAAATAGAGCTCTTTCTCTCAGCTGAGAGAACGCAGAGAATCCAGTCTGGCTTCTCTGCGCTCTCTCCAGCTCTGTCTAATTGCGCGTGCCTCTCTCTTCCAGCTGAGGCGCAGAGAAGCAAGGCACTCTCGTTTCTCTGCGCTCTCTCCACCGCTGTCTGAACGCGCGCGACCTCTCACTCTCTCAGCTGCGAGAGCGCAGAGAGCCCAGACACTCTAGCTTCTCTGCCTCTCTTCTACCACAGGCGCAAGGAGACATAGCTTAAGAGAACGCAGAGAAGCCAGACATTCTAGCACCCCTGCGTCTCTCTCCCTTTTCTTAGCTGAGGGAGCGCAGAGAAACCAGAAACGCTAGCTTCCTCTGCGTCTCTCTTATTTCAGTCTGATAGAAACAAAGCTGAACAGATCGCAGAGAAGCTAGAGAGTCTGGTCTCTCTGCGCTCTCTAGGTATGTATCTCTCTCTCTCTCTCTATCTATCTCTCTCTCTCTTTTTCTCACTCTCTCTCTTCCAGCTGCTAGAGCGCAGAGAGGCCAGACACTCTAGCTTCTCTGCGTCCCCCTCTCCCTCTTCTTCCCCTACCTTCATAGCATCCGTGGCAATCTTCTGAAGTGCCTCCTTCTCCTCCTCCAACGCGGCGACTCTTGCCTTCAGCTCCTCATTCTCTCTCTGATATCCATTCTCTCTCTGTTTCCTGTTCATTCTCGACTTCCTCGCGGCCTCATTGTTCTTGGCCCGTTTTTCAAGGTACCTAAATGAAGATTGCGGTTAGATTTGGTGATTTTTTATGGGTCCTGTCGTGGAGTCCTCGTGGAGAAGTTGTTGGTCGGGTGGGCAAGCTGGTGGGCAAGCTGGTGGGCAAGTTGTCCATTGAATCCCTTGAAGTATCCATGACGATGGTGGAACCTGTAAAAACCTAGGCCCCGCCCCCTTTTCTGTCCTTTCTTCAAGGATCATTGCTCAGACCTAATTTCTGCCCTAAACCTACTTTGGATTCCTTTTCGGATCGATTATTTGTCCTCCTTGATTCATGGATTCGTCGGATCCACCTCCAGAAGACGACGTGTTTGGCGAGGAACGGGCAAAGTCGTATTGTGATGGGATATACGAGCTGCTAAAATGGCAGAATTTGAATGGGTGGGCAAGATGTGGGCAAGTTGCCCATCAGCAATTTTTTTTTCTAATTCAGTCAAATTTGAGCTCAAAAACAATTGAGCAGCTTGCCAGATGAGCTGGGCAAGCTGCCCAGTTAGGTTCGGCAAGTTGCTCGGCAAGATTCTATATCAAAAAACCAAAAATTGCAAATCCGGACAAATATTTGGCAGGGTACCCGATGAGCTAGACAAGCTGCTCGATGGGCTAGACAAGCTGACCGATGGGCTCGGCAAGCTGCCAGATGGGCTAGGCAAGCTGCCGTGCAGGCTAGACAAGTTGTCCGGCGAGCTAGGCAAGCTGCCCGATGAGATAGACAAGCTGCCCGAAGTGCTAGCCAAGCTGCCCAGCTAGATTGGGCAGCTGTATTCCGGCAAAGTTGTTGGGCAACTTGCCCAAACTAAGTAGCCAACTTGTCCAGCTCATCCTCGTTCAAATTAATGAGCACCTGTAACATATTTTCTAATAGGGCTGATCTAGCCAATTGGGGAGCTTGCCTAGAAGCTAGGCAAGCTTGGCTAAGCTGCCGGATAGGCTAGGCAAGTTGCCCAACTAGATTTGGCCAGCTGTCTATAAACCTTCCCGATCACCGGTCAGGTTAGTCCTACTTTTAGAGATGAGATCGGTCTAGTTAGGTCAAAACCCTGGCAAGATGCCCAAATGAGCTGTACAGGCAAGGCAAATCTAGGCAAGTTGCCCAAATAGTTTGGGCAAGCTGCCCAACCACGTTGGCTTAATTTCTCAGTGTGATCCTAGACCAACTTGTCAGTCCTTCTCTATGGCAGTAGTCAAGGACCTCAAAACCCATGATCACCCGCCTCAAAGTCCCAAATGGAAATTTGCCCATTTCTTGCCCGCCCCTTGCCCAACCTCACCTACTTCCAATATTCTTATTATCTCTCCCGTCTTCTTACAACTCATCAACCTTCCCGTCTTACGTGGTGGGTGCCCTCTCCTTCCGCCCCCCCCCCCATGCCATAATCTCGGGTCATCACATCTCTGTTTGCCTCTTGTTGACGTGGCAATAACCCAAGGGGGAGGACACCCCCACTACTACCCTTCGCACCTATTTTCCCACCGGGTCCTAACCTGTCTTAGACGTTCCGGTTATCTTCTAGGCTTTAGAATATTCCGCCTGGGATTTTTAGACCTGAGCCTCAATCTCACAGCCCTTAGACTAAATTTCTCAGGCCTCAGCATGAATTTTACAAGCCTAAGCCTAAGATTCTAGGGCCTAAGCTCAAGTCTTACAGACCTAAGCGTCTAACCCTAAGAGTCTAACCACCTAAGCCTGAGATTTTACAGGCCTAAGATGCCTAAGAACCTAAGGCCTGTACCTAAGACCTCCCCATCTGAGCCTGAGCATCTAAGGTTTCACCACCTAAGCCTAAGAGTCTAGCCACCTAAGCCTAAACTTTACGAGCCTAAACCTAAATTCCTAAGACCTAGGCCTCAATCTTACAGGCCTAATTTTTGATTTTCCAGGCCTAAGTCTAAGATTCTAACATCCTTGAGGATGAAAAAAAAACTTACAAGCCTAAGCCTAGAATTTTACAAGCCTAAGCCTACATTTCACAGGCCTGAGCCCAAATTCTACAAGCCTTAGCCTAAATTCCACAGACCTGTGCCCAAAATTCCACGGTCTAATCCCAAGTTTCGCCCCGAAATCGCCTAAAATTCCCCCAAAACTCACAAAAAGTTCCAATCGTATGCTGCAGCAGCAGCAGGATGATAGGCGTGTTGTGGCATGACGGACATGGCTGGGACTGAAATTCTGAAAAAAAACATGTTTTCATTAAAAAATACCAAGGGAAAAGTGCTCAAGAGCAAGACGGACAGAAGTAGATCAAAAAATAATTCTTCAAAAGAAAAGTGCCCAAGAGCATCGAGATCGATTGCGCAACCCGTCCGTCCGACACGTAGGGCACCCCAACACGACAAATGACGGAGGTGACGCAAGTGGTGGACGCCCTTGCGCAGACGGGGCAGGCCACGCCCCCTTCCCCCCGTATAGTTGCCAGGAGGGGGAGAGACGCAGAGAAGCAGACAGACATTTCTTGGGGGAACACTTGGGGATGGTGGTCCGTAGGTATGTGTGTGTGTGTTTGGAAACACACAAAAAACACGTATTGATTGCGTAAGGTCAAGGGAACCGGTGGGAGGGGGAGGTGTAGGATGGTCCTAAAAACGAAGGGCATGGGGTGGTCCGGTTGTCCAGGTCTCCGGATGTCCAAAGACTATAATAGAGTAGCATTCTCAGGGAAGATCCAGGATAGGGACAGAAAAGTACTTCCTTCCGGTTATCCGGATGTCCATAAAAGGTCATTTCCATCGGAGCTTCCGGATATCCGGATGTCCAATTATCTTTACGAAAGTAGCACTCACTTGGAAAATAATGAAGATCGCAGTTGGTGTATCCGGATGTCCGGATGTCCATGACCAACAAAAAAAGATCATGTATTAGAAGGGCATAGGATGGTTCTGTTGTTCCGATTTCCAGTTATCCGGATGTTCGCATGTCCATTGTAGAATCCGTCCTGGCGAAAACGATAAATGTCCAAATACCCCTTTGTAACGATTTCTGAATGTCCGGATATTCGTCTGTCACGATGTCTGAATATCCGGTTGTCCAGATGTCCGGACAACACATGAACGT